TTCTTGTCTGAAGCTTTTCTGAATGATTTTCTTTTGCAATTTCATTGTTAATCTTGGTAAGTTTTCTTTGAAGCCTTTGAATTTTCTTAGGTGAGGGCTGGGGTCTGAATGCTCTTGGTATTGACTGTATTTTGCATTTATGCAAGTCCTATTTAGCAAAATTAGTAATACTTTGAATTTCCTCTATTATTTCAGCCTTAAGCAATGAATTGTTTCAACTATTTTTATCAAATCACCATTGCTTAGCTTTAGTAGAACCAGATGCTAATTGAAGTTCATATTCCACTAACAAATGGTCTGAGTTGCTGAACTGGGTTGTAATATGTTTGCAGCAGTGTCCATAATTGGCATTAATAAAGATGTAATCAAGTCTAGTAGCTATTCTATGACCACCTCTGGTATTTTGATAAAGGTTATAAAGGGTTCATTATCTTGTATAATGCTTGCTATATCTATAAATTCTATAGTAAGATTACCAAGCATTACTCTTGTAGGATTACTAGTAGGTGGTGCATGACTTATTCTGTTGAACTAAGGATTGAGATTTGTGTTAAAGTCTCTTGCTAGAATGTTTATGCACCTTTCATCTATCTGAGAAGCCTAATTATTAAAGAAGATAGTTCTATCTTCAATGTTTGGTAGTGCATATATATTAGTCAGTTTGAAGGGATGTTGTTTGTGAGTCAGTTCTGCAACAATAACTTATCCATTGTGAGAATCTTCAGTTTTAGTAAGAGAAATGTTACTGTTGCCAACCAAAATTGCAGTTTTTGATGTCCAATATGAGGGGTAGCCCCATTGTTGCTGTAAAAATTTTCTGGTATTGGGATTTTCTAGGTTTGTTTCTTGAAGCATTATGATGTCTAAGTGGTATGATTTTAGTAATGTAATGTTTTATGTGCTTTTTTCATATTATTTAAACCTTTAACGTTTAAAGTTCCAATTTTGATTTTTAAAACCATGATAATAATTGTAAAAATGAAGGATGGTTTAGTAAGGGTTCCTTCTGGTCCCATAGCTATTCTTAAGCCTGTTGCCATTATCTTGCAATTCTGTGGCTTTTGATCAGTACTTGGATTTTCTTTTGGATAAAACCATCATTATTTTCATCTTGAATATTAGTTGTTGAATCTATGCTACTGCTGTATATAGCAGCCAGAGGGTCTGAATGTGATTTAATTTAGGAATGAGGCTGTTGCTTTTGGTTATAGCTGATTCTATTACTTGGTCCTTATTGGCTAAGGTTAGACTTTGTGTTTCAGCTTTGACTTCTTCAGACCATAAAGATTCTGAGTTGGCTTCTTTATCTGTTTCTGAGACAGTTGAAGTTAAGTTTTCTTTTGGCTCATCTATACTTATGTTGTGTTCAGAACTTGTACTATATGGGTTATCTAAACTGAGTACGAATGGCTCTTTTTCCTTTTGTTGGAGAAGTTGTTCATTTTCTTGCTTTTTTTGCATTTTGTGGTTTCGATGAAGATTCCTGATTTCTACAGAAGTTTTGTATTCTGGACAATCTTTTTTGATGTATCCAGTCTTATCGCAGAAGTAACATAGCTTTGGTGCCTCTTTTCAATCTGTTGTTACCTTGTGATCCCAGACATGTGTAAATCTTGGAATCCTGTTTGCAAGATCTGAACTACCCACTGGTCAGAAAGAACTAAGGTGCCTTTATAGACAAGTGGTTTAATAGAAGAGATAGTGCCTATGTCTTGAAAAGCCTCTTTAATATGTTCTGATATAAAGTCCTTCTTGCCTATAGGGGTGTTGCAGAGCCTAACTGATAAAAAGTTATATCTAATATTTATGGGAATGTAGCCTTGAATATTTTGTTTAAAAATGGTAAGGCCTTCAGTTGCATAGTATTGCAGCTTTTCTTCATCCAAAAAGACTACTTCTAGATGTGTTCTTCTGTTTTTAATAATAATTAGTTTAACTGCAATAAGGTTATTACCAATTTTGTTTTGCATTGCTTCAATGATATCTGTAGTAGGAATATTTTCTAAACTGTGAATTTCAAAAATTAGTGTATTCTCATTTTTGGTGTGCAGTCTCTTTCTGAAAGAGTAGGTTAAATAGGTTGCCTTTCTTCTTTCGAGTTTAGCAAATAGATCTGACTACTGTCTGAGTCTCACAAATGAGGGGCTTGGTTTTGATTGGCTATTGGAGATTTCTGTCTCCTGACTAGAAGCTTGTTCTTCTTCCTAATTAGTAGCAGCCATGTGTTCTGTCTAGTGCTCAGCAACATGACTGTAATTAATCACCTGGTCTGTTTGTTTTGTTTGGTGCTCAGAAATGTGACTAGCAGCAACCATGTTTGTCACCTCTTGACATGACTCTTCTGCAGGAGTAAACAAACAATTTTCTTCTTGGACTAACTTAGCTTTATCTTTAGTTTTGTTCTTTACATTGTTATCAAATGTTTGGACATTGTTGAAATTTCTCTAATTTAAAGTGCTGTCAGTTTTTTTTGTAATAATCTGAGAAACTTTGAAAGTTTCTATGTTTTTCTTGTTGTCTATTTTGCTATTGCCACCTTCAACTGACTTGATGCTCAAAGTTTTAGCTTTCTTCACTTTTCTGTTTACACTGCTTGCTGAAGTACTTGACATGATTGTACCAACTAGTTTTCACTTTCTTGGTACAAGGGTTTTAGCCCTTGTTACATGTTTTGAACCTGAGTTTTGAAAGTTTTTGATTATTTTGTAAATTGAACATTCTCTACTTATAGAAAAATGGAGAACAGAAAAGAGTTTTTTTTTTTGTCTACTATTTTTATTTTTATATACATATACTATTATAACTTTAAAAGATTAACAGGTAAAAAAAAAAAAAAAAAAAATCAATTTCTTTTATATCACAATTTACTGATGCAATTATAATGTAATTTATGATGTATTGTTAGTTACAATATGTTAATTTATTAATTATATTTAATTATGAAGTATATCGATGTATACTAGTAAATCATATACTGCAGCTATGCTATAAATTACATCATGGCACCTTTGTAAGCACCTATATAGTAATTTATTATAACTATATAAAAGACTTCTCGCTATAGTATTCCTATTACAAAATACTCCTATACTTGTATACTCACCTCTGTAAATAGTATTTAGATGAGTACTATTCAAGAAATTCGATGGTTTATTAAAAAGTACCTAAGGTACTGTAGTTAGTACTATATAGTATTTGCTAATTCTTTAGTAACCTATATATAATTAATTCTTAATTTAAACTTTTATCTAAATCATAAGAATTTTTTTAAGTTTTATTTTTTTTTGATATTAAGATGAGGCCTTGCTTATATATTTATTAATAATTTAAATTAGGTCTAACTATTAAACTGCTAACTATACAGCTACTAGTATTTGTACAAAACAAATAAATTAAAAATTACATACAAAAATAAAAGCTTAGACTAATTTATCTGTAACTTAAATCTACTAGAATAGTTAAAGCTTATTTAGATTTGAATATTAAGTATATAATTTGATAATATATTATATTTAATCTATAGAATAGAACAAATATTAATTTTGTGAATTGCTTGGTCAATAGAAGAATGTGTTAGAATAAGTATGTAATTGATCTGAAAGTTTGCAAAGACATGAGTAAGTATAGTTTTTTCAGAAATATGTATATCTAGTAGCTAAATTAAATAATATTGAGGTTCTGTTAATTGGTTAAAATTGAGATCTATTTTGTTGTTTTTTCTAGTTAAAAAAGTAAAAATGCAATATTTTTTTTTGATATTAAAGTGACCTTTTTGGTCTTTAGACTTTTATTGGTATTGTAATTCAATGAACCACTATAGAAGAGCATACAATTGGCTACATATATAAGTTTTTTATATTATCTATTTAAAGAGTTTGCCTAAAGGTTCCTTACCAATTGCTGTATCTAACATCTCTGCTTAGATATTCTACTTTAAATCCTCTAAACCTGTAATTTGTATTAATTTACTGAGTTATATTCAAATGCTCAGATTATAATCTTAATCTTAGAACTAATTTATCCTTAGGATAAACTTTTCAGAGCCTTCTATATTCATTTTTACAGCTAATCTAGATATTATTATAGCAAAACTAACACTTGCAGTCAGGGCTTAACTATTAAACTACTATGTCTTTGTAGAGTTCACTCAAACCTCAGCATCTACTTCACAGCATAACCCCAGTACTTTAGTATACCTCTGAATTTCGCCAGACTTCCAATTTAGATGGCCTATATAAAACTATAATTAGTCTATTAGTATATTAGATCAGCCTAATATCTTTTCCTTCAGTTCATTCTAATGGCCTAGTTGGTGATATCTTTAAGACTCCCAATCTGGAGGTTCTTGCTTATTCAGTTACTAAGTTCTGGGTATCCATTTCCCTAGACTAGTCTTTACAGTAGCACCATCAAAGATCCAACTATTTCTCTATTTGGATCTTCTCAAATAAACTTCTTGAAAAAAAGATCTGCATACACTCTTTCCAGACCACACGCATTTGGAAGTAGAGTGAAACTAACCAGAAAAATAAACTACAACAACAAGACAACCGATCTTAAAAAAGGTTTCAAAGCAAGGGCACTTGCCTTTGTTACAAGAAAAAGATCCTTTAAAGCTTTTAACAGTACAAAAAGCTTTGGCACTATGGCAAAAAAACAAAAAACAACAACAAACACTGATAAGGAAAACACCAAAAATGAGAAGCCTATACAAGTAGAAGGCAATAACTCAGGTTTACTAGAATATATCAACAAAAGCAACCCTAGCTGGGATGAACAAGTAGCTCAAGAAACTATGGAACTCAAGGAAATAACAAATACACAGAAAGAAGAACTTAAAGAAAATAGAACATACATAGCAAAAAAGAAAATCTCATTAGTAGAAAGAAATGACAACATAGAAACACTTTTAGAACAAAACAACAATACTTCTACACATAACAAAGAGGTTATTGAAGTCAATACATGTAATGAAGAGGTCTTTAAAACTAGTACACGTAATGAAGATAACATCCAAACAACAACATGTAACAATGAGGTCTCCGAGACTAGTACAGGTAACAAAAACAACATGGAAACAACAACTCAAAATGAACCAAGAAATGAACAAGAGAACTCCACTTTGGAAAGAAATACAACTTTTAGCTCCAGTAGAATAACTGAACCACTAACAAAAAAATGG